TTGGCTGAGCACCCGCCCCCTCCCAACGGGCCTCCCTTAGGGACTGGCCTCCCATTGGCCGAGACGCAGCTCCCCCGTGGCCTCTGATTGGCCCGTGTCCAGCTACCGTCCGTCTTTGGGCCGATCGGGGAAAGAGGGGCACGCTCGCCCCGCCCCCTCCTGTTTCCTGCATGCGGATTGGGCTGCCTTTCTGTCAGTCTGCCATGTCCTTCGCTCATTGGTGGAAAATACTCTCTGTCACGCGACGGGTATTTTATTTTACGCTGTTCCTGGGGCCGTCGGGGTAGGGCTGCGTTGTGGGGAAGGACAAGGCTGCGACCAGCCCTTACCTTTGCACCCAGACTCCGCGTTTTCCCTTCCCTACCTGCCGATTTGCCAGCGGGGCTGTCAATTAAGCGCGAGGGCCGTACTTACGCGCTAGGGTGACAGGGGAAATTAGGCCCGCCTTCTTCCGCTTCCGACTGGATAGCTGAGCTGTCCTTTTAGTCTGAGTCCTCTTTCCTATTGGCTCATCTCGCTGTCAATCGCAACATGGGGCGGGACTCTGACGGGAAAGATAGTGGGCGGGACACGAACAAAGCCTGCTCAATGATTGGTCAACTGGCTGTCAATTCACGAAGGCTCCTCCGTGACGGGTGGACGCGGTCGTCAATCAACGGCGCGGGAGGGCGAACCGGCAGTGCGGGGCGGGATCAACTTATAGACGTCGCCATGGGCCTTCTCGCCCGTCCGTCTACGTTTCCCTGTTGCTGATTGGCCCGACGCGCCGTCATTCTCGCCCGTCCGGCCGCCCGATTGGGCAGTAGCGGGGGAGGTGGGACACCGCGCGGAGGCTGCGCGGGGGGACGCGGCGGGGAGGGACGGACCAGGAATTATTTTTATTTCTTTGTTTCCCGGAGAAAAAAAAAAAAAAGAAAAAAAAATCGATAAAGGGGAAGAAAGGAAAAAAAGAAAAAAAAAAAGGAAAAACAACATATCTTGGCTATATTAGTACCAATGTCAGAAGTGTACTCAGAAAATGATTGTAAGGAAGGTTAAAGTAGCAACATAAACTTGGCTATACTCAAGCTATTTTTAAAGTATGAAATAATCACAGCTGAAAATTACACCATTAAAAATTTTCAATTAAGATCTGTGACTCACTTCAGTTTTGATCTTATCCCTTCTGCTCTAGAAAATTATAAACTGCATATGAAGTGCCCAGTGGGGTTTAGGAAGCAATGAAGAACATCCATTTCAGACATTTCTTTTGGTGTAAGCCAGTACTGACTATGTGAAAAAGGAGGAATGAAAAACAGGATTAAGATACTGAATGTGATTGGCGCCCGCAGCGGAGCCGTGTGCGGAGCGGCGCGGGCGGCTCAAACCCGCCGCGCGGGTCGGTTCTGCTCGGAGGGAGCCGCGTTCCGGCTTCCCACGGGGTTATTCGGCGGTACGGGCCCAAAATGAGTTACTCCACGAGGAGAACCGTGATGGGGCTGAGATCCTCCTCCTCAGGCGCGAGATGTGCCTCCACCTGCAAATACATTCACGGGTTGCAGCTTTTATTTCTTTATTTATTTTTAAACATGTAGAAGACACCCAAATGCTGCCTGAGCATTTGTTCTATGTGGGCACGTTTTGAGCACTATAAAGAATGTTTTTGAGCTTTCTGTTCCTCGACTGCGTAGATGTACCATGTTCAATATCAAATACAAGATTTTCTTGTCTTTGATTGAGGTTCGTGGTGGGAGAGGCTGTAAAACTGACTTTTGGAGGTTACACTAAGGATAACCCTGTTCGGTTTCTAGTTTCAATTGAGGCTCATCTGTGCAGTGCCTGAAGACTTGGAGGAAATATACACAATGCAGATGTTAGTTTTGCATAAGGAAACCAGTTAATAGTGAGCTTTGATTTCAGCAAAATTGCAACAAAGTGCAGCTTATTCCGGTTATAATGAATCTCTGCTAGAGAATAGAGAGTATTTTGTTGCTTTAGAATCCCAGTTCTTAAGAAAATGGTGTTTGGAGTGTCAAAGCAATACCATCTGTTGCTTAGAAGCTAATATTCGAGATGCCTGGTTTCCTGACAATAATTTGAGTTTAAGCCATTCCTTATATAATTGCTTGCTTTTCAAAAGGATTTTCAAAGCACGTTACCTTTGAGCTGGCTGCCTGGAGAGGGGGAGACAGAAGGCAGGGAGAAATGAAAGAGTTGAGGAACATCAGGTGGACGTGCTCAGAGCTGCCTGTCCGACCGTTGTAGCTCTGTGTACGCCTGACAGAGACACGAGCCGTCTGGTGGTAGTTTCTTGTGGGACACTTTATTCAGAAATAGGGTTTTTGGCCTTTGTTTCATGTAGCATGTTGCTGATCAACAATAGTCATGGATTGCAAAGTACTGTCCCAAAGAAAGAAGAGAGGAACCAGCATGGAACCCCTTTGTAAACCAAGCCAATATTTTTCATGTGGGTTGTGATCTCTTGTTCCTTTTGCTACCCTCTTCCTTTTTTTCCACTCCTGCATAATTTGGTAGGTTATGTTTATCCACAGGTAGCTTCTCATATAACTACAGATTTCAAAATTCTTCTAATTAGTATCATTATTTACTTAACCTATCTTAATTGTGACCATCAGCTTGCACAAACCCACTAAATGCAGTTATCAGTAGGTAATACCACAGCGGTATGAACCAAGCAGCTAAGCTATACAAATAGCACCATTGATATACTCAACTCTTCTAGGGTTTGTGTTTGCTTTTTAAACGAGGCCCAATCTTCCCATCCTTGTTTCCTCTCCGATCTTTCAATGCAGAACTAGTCACAGCTGTCAGAAATAACTCCGTGTGAGCATAGAGGAGGTTTGCAAAGCTTAAGTGTTTTGGAACATTTGGAGGAATGAAAGAATTGTCCTGGAGCAAGAGGGTGAGGATTTACTACATGTGTAAATCTGAAGCAGCTGGTGATAAATAGCAGAAAAATGGCTTATAATCACAGAATGGATTGTTAAAAATGCAAAATCTTGGGTTGCATTGCAAAATGTGAATGTGTAGTCTGGGTAGTGTGGGTTTTTTTAACCAATTTCTGCAGTGTCCTTTTTAACAAGCTGCTCTAAAGGTTTGCAACCTTTCTAATCTGAAAGTAGGCAGCTCTCCTGCTCACAGTACTCTCTCCAGCTCATTCCCTAAATTAAACAGGCTGTTTGGCTTTAGCCTTTCAAAAAAAATGTCAAAGTTATTCCTGACCAATCTTCCCCTTCACCTGCTCCCCCCCATAACATTTTCAACAGCTGCTTCTCTTTCTGCTGTTGTTTTCCCTCTTGCTGTTCTGTCTATCTGCTTTTTATCCTCTTTTCCACTGTTTTTCTCCTTATATTTTAGCCTTCTCTCCATCTGCAGTTTGAGTCTGTATTTAGGTGCTGCACAACATGGCACATGAGCAGCTCTGCCCTTGTGTGCTGCAAGGGAAGCCCTGGATGATTCAAATATTATTTGCAAGCATGATAAAGAATTTAGAATGTTATTATTTATATTATGTATTATTATATTATATATTCTTGTTTAGAATACTTACAGTAGTTTAAGAAAGAACATTATTGTAATGAAAGCATAACTGTGTTTCCAAAAAAGCTCCAAAAACAACAAACTGATGGAAGGAATCACAAAATCAGTTATTATTTCCACAGTGTATGTTTAAAAGTTGGCCTTTATACTTTTTAAGATACGTTTGCTATTATTTTATAATGCTCGCATGGTTAACAACTTCCACCTTTGACAGTGTGCAGGGATTGAAACCTTAATTGTTAACTGAGGTACTCATTGCATGCATTAAATGTAGGCAATTAAAGTTTTCTTGTTACTGCTTGTCCATAGTAGTCTTTGCAGTATTCGCTGATGTATTTTAAATCCTTCAGCTTTATTGCTGATACTACTTGTTTTGGCTCTGTTCAGTCACACTGGCACTTGATACCAGTTTTGCAGCTGATTAAGTTTTGAGATGAATTCCCCATGCAATCATTGCATTTGGCTTAATTTCCGTGTCAGCTGACTTGCTACATGGCATAATTTCCTGACAGTAATACTTAAACACTTTATTTTTCCTCTAGTGCTAGGATTTTTTTAGCCCTGTGTATTTCTCTTTATCGCAGGTGTTACCTGGGATTGCAGCCAAATAAATACCTAGGAGGATGTGTGTGTGGGGCTCTAATCTCCATGCGGTTACCGAGATGCCCCTGTCATGAAGCAGCCTGTGGTCCTGGGCATCCCACATCCTGGGCAGCTTCTCTTGGTGTCCCGATCCCTTGATAAGATGCTCATTTGATTGTGTGCCACCTTGTCCTGACAGGGCTTCTTCCAGGGACCCTGTTTTTCACTCTGCTAGCAGCTGAATGAGCTTTAGGGAAATAACAATTCATGCTAACTCCAGAAATTTGCCCTCTTTTTAGATTTTTTTTTTTTTTTTTTGTTTTCTCTATAGCTTCCAATACTGGGAAAAATACTTTTTTTCTTGACTGCCATGGAGGCCAATAACAAACCAACAGTGCTACCTTTTATGACCTAAAGTTGAATGCAGGTCTCCAACCTAATTTAGTTCAAATTCAAATGTGTTCTACTGTGTCAGCCCCAGTGGCACCTGTGAAATTGCTTCTCTCTGCCAGGCGCTTTCACTCCCTGACGCTGCAGTTCCCCTCGCTGTAGTTCATGTGCTCTGGACTCAGGTATTTTCGGCCCGGTTACCATAGTGGTCTAACAGTCCCTCTTGTTCTAGTGCTGCAACACTGATTGCTCATTATAGACCTCTGCTTCAGCTTGTCTATTACATTTGCTTCCAGAATTACTGTTCGAGATTTATAGCTTTTCTGTTTTGTCAGTCATGGAGGTTTCCTGGGATTCTTGAAATTTCTCTTTCTTTTTGAAAATGCACTTGGCAAATATTCCACATAATAGTTTCCACTATGCATACCACATTCTAGCAGTCATGTTTTCGCTCTTGCATGCTTGCAGCCCTCCTCCTGTACTGCTTTTATATCTGCTATTAATACTCTTATGTGTATGCAAACATAAATGCACCCAAATCTCCTGATTTATAACGCTTTGCACTTGAAGATCCCTACTGACGTTCTCTAAGCATCCCAAATATTCTGTTTGGCAGTGGTTGGATAACCTTGAGATTTTGGTTGTTGCCTCGTCAGCAATTTCACATTAATGCTAAATTTCACCGTTCTGAAGCCTCCCTCTGCCTTGTGAGTCAGGCTGCAGAAGGAAACGTGTCCTCGCTCCTGTGAACATTCCCTGTGGGACTTGCTGATAGTAAAGGGATAGGATAGAGCCTCGCTTTGCTACCGTTTTGGACTGGGGCTATGTGGTTGTTTTTTCCAGGGATGTTTCTTGGATGCTTTACCTTCCAGCAAGCACAGTGTCTGACTGTGCAGGGCACTAAAAGGAGAACAAAGCACAAAATCCAAAAAAAAAAAAAAAAAAAAAAAAAGAGGAAATGGCATCTGGTACTTGGGGAGGAGGAGCAGGGAGGGGAAAATTAAGGAGGAACATTGTTTGAAAATTCCAAGGAGGAGAATAGACACTGTGGACTTATGAATAAATCTTCAAGTTCTGTGCATATTAGTGATTAATGAATGTTCACAGAGCTTGCAGGACTGTAATCTAATTGCTAGCCCTTCCAGTTCTATACACTGCTTCTTTCCTGAATGTTTTTTTCCCTTCAGCCCTCCATCCTGTATTATCCTACAAGATTAGATGCCATATGCCGGTTTATAGGAAAGCTCTGCCCTTCTTAAACGTTGGGCAGATCACTGAAGTCAGATTTTTTTTTTTTTGATGTGTATCAGACCAGAAAATTAAATGCCTAAAATTTAGGTTATGTATCCGCAACCAATTTGGGCATACCGTCCTTTTCCTTCTGTATTGAGAACAAACTTGGAATTAAAATGTGTACTGTAGAATGTAGCTCAGCATTTCTAATATCCAGCCTCGCTTGGGTTAGGGAGCCCCCCTGTCTCCTGGACGTTATGTGAGGGTGGGGATGCTGACCCGGCAGCCGTCGGAACCGGAGGAATGTGCGGATGTGCCTAGAAAAATCAATGAGCTTCAGAGCGTGAAGAGAAGCGTCTAGAAGGAATGAAGAACGCGAAGAAGTGGCTGGTGCGAAGGAGAAAAAGGAAGCAGGGCTATTGCTAAATTTTATTAGTAACTTCATAAAATAATTAAACAGTATGTTATTCATAAAATAATTGAACCAACAGAGTGGTGGTTGCCCTGTCAAAGCTATAGGTCTATTAGGGCCTATTCTTTTGGGTTAAATTCTGGCTGCTCCTCTTGCAGCTATACGTATTCTGAGTGTTCACAGAAGAGGTGTGTGCTCACTAAGCACTTAAAAATCAATTTATAAAACTGTGTATTGGATAATAGTGCATTTCAGCACAGTAGATCTTGTTGTGTGGCATTCCCATGTGGAATAAGGGAAATCGGGATCTGCATTCCTTCCTTCCTTCTCCTAGGGATCATTGCCATCTGCAGCCCACAGTGTGCTGCAAAGAGAGGCTGGAGGTAGATTTAAACCGGCCGTGTGGCCTCGTGCAGCTCAACGCATGTGTAGAATCTATTACACAACAGCAGGTTGCTGTTGAGGCCAGCGTGAGTAGATGAAGCTCTTTGTAAAAGCAAATAACTGTCTCGTGTCTTAGGCTTATATTTGTGAAGCTCTTAATTGCTTTTGAATTCAGGTGTTTGAGAAGTAGGCTCTTTAATGACCTTGTGAAAGCCTCGTTATGTATTTTGAATTGCTACTATTCCAATTTAAAAAGGAAGAAAAATCAGCATGGCATCCAGATGCAGAACAGTGTTTTCCACATTCTGCGGTAAATGGACAAAACACTTGCAATCAAAAAGTGGTGGTGGGGGGAATGCACAGGTGGGTTAACTGTAGAAATATTTCCTTATTTCATAGACTACAGAACTTACTTTCAGCCAAGTCTTTCTTTAGTTCATAGTGATTTAAGGCAGGTCCTCGTGCAAGTGCATTAGTGAGCATTGACTTGAGTGAGCAGTGGCCTTTTAGGGGAGGGTTGGGGTGAGAGTTGTGAGTTAGAGCAGCTCAAAAACTGCCTTGAGTGAAAGTGGAGAAACGTACCTGATGAACTGCGAGAGCCCAGCCTTGACAAGAAACCCAAGTGGAGGCTGTGTGTTTCCCCAGGCCTGTGGCTTGGATGCTGACCTAATGTTGCAAGTAATTTGAGTGATATTTCACAAAAATCCACTTGTTTGTCTTTGTTTCTTTTTTTTTTTTTTTCTTTGCTTAAGGTTTAAAATTTAAGCACTATGCCTTGAAGGATAACTGAAGTACTTGCAGATTGGAGCGGTTTTGGAGAATACTAGATTAATTTAAGAGCTTCCTAACAGGAGATCTTAGAATAGCTTTACATTATGCACAGGGCAAGGATGTGTCATAGGTTAGTAGTAAAACCAATACAAATACACTTTATAATGACTTCCTGTGATAATTTGCTTCATCATCCTGAGATGGTACCTTATGGCATCTTAATTAAATGGAGCAGAGTATTCTGTGTGATAGGAAGTGGAAAGCCTCATTAATGAATTTGCTGAGTTGTAGTTGGATTGCTTGTAAACCTCTGCTTGTTTGTAACACCCTTCACAGGAGTTTGCACAGACTCATTCTTGGCAACTTATCAGTAAACATCCCAGGGCAAAGTTCCACTGATGGTGCTGGCAGTAGGATACAGAAGGAAAAAGTTACTGATAGGAAAAGACTGCCCTTAATTAAAAAGAAGACCAACACTGTTGTTAAATAAGCCAATACAATGTAATGAGCTGTTTGCAGTTTGGGGAATTAGAGTAACAAACTAGGTCTGCAGGTGCTGGGTTTTGGGGAAGAATTTTTGCTTCCTCCTCTGCAGCAGAACAGATTGATCCATTCTCTCCAGGGCTGCTGTCTTAATCGGTGATTATCTCTAAATGTTTTGAGCTCTGCACTGCAAAGGTTGTCAGTGGTTCAAAGTGTAGGGCTATGGATAAGGGGCTGTGGCTCTGAAATGATCAGGATCATCTAGTCCAGCACCCCTGCGCAAGCAGGGTCACCAGTTCATGTGATTTCTGCGTCCTTATCAGCAATACAGACCTAATGCTTCCTTTCTTTTTCTCTTTACAGTACTTTTCTGTATCTGAAGTTCCTCGTAGTGTGGGCACTCGTACTGTTGGCAGATTTTGTCCTGGAGTTCAGATTTGAATATCTGTGGCCATTCTGGCTTTTCATCAGGAGCGTTTACGATTCCTTCAGATACCAGGGTTTGGTAAGTACAGCCTAAAATCACCATTTCTTTGTGGAAAAACCCCATAGGGTTTTATGGCACAAGGCATAATCTGTGGGTAACCCTGTACTTCTGCTGATCGTTTCCTGAAATTAATATGGGTGGCTTAGTTACAATACCACATCAGCAGTGTAAATTAAATTCTTCAAAATAATAGGGGATAATTACAGCTGTTTTGAGACTCACTGGAAGAGTGGGCAGGACCAAATATTCCTGAAATATTTCTCTCTTAGTTGGGTATGTTTGTATCATCATTGTTTCAGATTGCTCCTTTTCTTTGTCCTGGTAATAACTAAGACTTAGCCTTTCCGTGTTGAAATCACCCTAGTGTAATAAGTGGCAATATTTGATGGAATAAACTGAAATGCTCTTCTCTTTCCTCCTTCCCCTTTCTTCTAGGCCTTTTCAGTATTTTTTGTTTGTGTAGCATTCACATCAAATATAATATGTCTGCTCTTCATACCAATCCAATGGCTGTTTTTTGCTGCCAGCACGTATGTATGGGTACAGTATGTCTGGCACACAGGTAGGTCACTTTAATTACAAGTTACTGATTTGCATGTAGATTTTACAATTTTTAGTAACATACAGAAACCTTGTTCTGTTTATTGCTGTGAGTGTTTTAAGGTACTTTGTTACAGATTAAATAAAATGTAGACACAGAAAGTTTTTAAGATAGCATAGATCATTTCCCAGCCTGTTGGTAAAAGCAGTCATTTTTCTGACAAATTAATCATTTAAAATGATGGCAGTGTGGGAGCTAATGGAAGAGACTGTGAACCAGTTGCTGCTGAAATTCAAATATATCCAAAACTGGAGCTATTATTAAGACTCACTACAACCTTGTGAATTCATCTCTTTAAATGCTTATAACATTATAACAGAAATTTCCCTTGGTCAAGCAGATGAACACCCTCCTTTTGTATGGTTGCTGTTTTTCCTCCTCCTCAGCAGTGTTAGAGGCATCAGTGCAGCATCCTGAATGTTCCCCTGTTGCAGAGTTTGGGTCGGAGACCGTTGTCTGCGCTGCTCTGGATGGAGTAGCTAGTTTTGTGCTTACTCACTTCTGTTTTCTCAGCTGATTTGCTCACATCTGGCGCTAATACTTACCTAACTTGGAGAGAAAAAGTAGTCCACGCTTGCCAGCGCTCTGATTCAAGGATCACACGCTCTAACATTACCTCATCTCCTGCAGTCTCTTCCATTTCTGCTCTTCCCTGTATAGGGTTTTGTGCCAAGTTATTTCATTAGCTGCGCGTCTGTTATTTTTCATTGGTGCCCTTGCAAAAGTAATAAAGCAAGACAAGGAGACAGAAGTTTAGAACTCTTTTTAAAAAAGATATCTGAAATACTTTATTTTGTAAAAACTCTTACAGTTCCATACATGTCTGACTAAAAATTTCCTTTGGCTTTTAAAAATAGCTTAAAAGTATCTGCTTCTTGTGATATATTACTCAGGCTTCTTTTTCTTTATTTTTTTTTCTCCCTTCTTCCAATAGAGAGGGGTGTGTGTCTACCGACAGTATCACTGTGGATACTTTTTGTTTATATTGAAGCAGCAATTAGATTTAAAGATTTAAAAAACTTCCATGTGGACCTTTGCCGTCCTTTTGCAGCACACTGGTAAGTAGATTTCCCTTCTTTCTTATCATTCATATCACTAGATAAAATAAATGTTTAATGGCTTTTATTTTGGTTGAATGTTTGGCTGGTTGGTTTTGTAAATGGATGAAATTAGTGAAAGAGTGAGTCCAGGCAAAAGGCTTGAGTAGAAAATATCTGTTTCTGAAAGAAAGGCACTTTTATTCATCAAGTTTTACTGTGGCACATATTGAAAGTAGGTTCAAAATGGGTCCTACTTTTCTTGGAGTCATTTGGTCCAGTTCCCTGTGATACAGTCTTGAATAAATTAGACATCTGTCACTTTAATTTATAGTGTCTACATTGCGCAATAAATCCCTTAAACACTAATTAAATTCTATAAGAGATTACAAAAGCACTTTAGGAGCTGTGAAGAAAGGTCCTTCTGCTGCTGAATTGGATGCAAACATTTCAGCCTGTCATCAGAGCTTCAGAATTGTAGCTACAGCTGCCTTACGCAGTACGACAAAAGCAGCTTTGGCAGAGAGGATGTCGGGCACGCAAGCAAACGAATCCTGCATTCTGGTGGCATTTTGAGCACCCCAGTTTGTACAGTGCTATTCCTAAGCAAAGGATGAGAAGACTTCAACATTTAATAACAGCTTTATTTGGAGTCTTCCCTGATCTGGGGCACCTTTAGCGTGTAAAATGCAACTTCACTGTGCTTTCTTCAAATATGTCAAAGGTGCGTTTATTTTTATACAGGGACATTTGCCAGCATGAAAGGCAGAAAATATGTATTACTTCTTATGAACATGTAAAAAACTTGTACTTACAGCTAAATATCGTATTAGTTTTCTGATGTGTTTACACTGTGCTTAATACAGTTCCTTTTTTTTTTTTGTTTTCCTAGTATTGGCTACCCTGTTGTGACTTTGGGCTTTGGCTTTAAAAGTTACGTCAGCTACAAAATGCGTTTAAGAAAGCAAAAAGAAGTGCAGAAGGAGAATGAATTCTACATGCAGCTTCTCCAGCAAGCTCTGCCCCCGGAACAGCAGATGCTACAAAGGCAAGAGAGGGAGGCAGAGGAAGGCAAGTTATTCTTATTGCTTAATGGGTTTGCTGTCATCTGCAATTTAGAAAAAATATACAAAATGCCTGCTAAGGAAGAGCTTTTCCTAGTCAATGTTGTTTTGGCCAAAGTATTGTGAACTTAGAGGAGCTGGAAATAACTTCATTTTGTCCACAACAGTAGAAATAATTCCATTCTCTGTTAGTCCCCTGATTAGCAACTGCATTAATCAAGCCAGTTATTGCTTTATGAAGACATATTTATTACTAAATCCCTTGGTTACTGTGTCCTAGAAAACTAGACTTAAAATGCCATGTGACTTCCATTTTTTTTCCTAAACTAAGATAGACCTCCAATAATTATTGTTTTTTGCAGCAGTGATTTTTGCATACTTAATGATTCTTTGTATGTCACAGTATTGATTGACTTTAATAAACTAAGTATATTTTATTTTTGGTATTGCAGCAGCCAAAGGATTATCTGATATGGATTCCTCAATACTTTTGCAGCACAATGGAGGCATTCCAGCCAATAAAAAATTATCTGCAACATTGCCAGAGCTAGAATATAGAGAAAAAGGGAAAGAAAAGGACAAGGATGCAAAGAAACACAACCTTGGAATAAATAACAACATTTTGCAACCTGTAGACTCTAAAATACAAGAAATTGAATACATGGAAAATCATATCAATAGTAAAAGATTAAATAATGATCTTGTAGGAAGTACAGAAAACCTCTTAAAAGAGGACTCATGCACTGCCTCATCCAAAAATTACAAAAATGTCAGTGGAGTGGTGAACTCCTCGCCTCGCAGTCACAGTGCAACTAATGGGAGCATCCCTTCCTCCTCAACTAAAAATGAGAAAAAACAGAAATGTGCTAGCAAGAGCCCAAGCACACATAAGGACTTAATGGAAAATTGTATTCCTAATAACCAGCTAAGCAAACCAGATGCATTGGTAAGGTAAGTTCGATATGAGCATCGCGTGACTGCTTCTCGTATCCTTTTTGATTTAATTACATCAACATTTTTTTTTTCTTACAAACGTGGGACATGGTCCCATAAGGAAAACTGAATTGTCTAATGATAAATCACAGCAGAGGCTTTTGGGTCCTGTGGTTTGCTGTGCAACCCTGAGCAAGTTGCTTGCTTTCTACCTCAGAAAGCAACGCTCACCTACCACACAGGGGGCTGTGAGGCACAATAAATAGCTCCAACAGGTAGTTGCAAGAAGACATGAGAAAAGTAGGGAGTACTCCTCCTGCTGAGCTGTGTGAATGTGTTCCCTCCCTTGGGTTGTCTTTACTACTCCCCTTTTGGGTTGTCCTTACTGCTCCAGGCAGTTCAGTAGGTGATGGTGCCTGAAAAGTTTGGGGGTTTTGCTGGCTTATTTATTTTCCTTTCTTGGTAGTGTGGTAGTGGTGGTTGTTTTTGCTTTATCCCTCAACTTACAAAAAATGGATTCAAGGTATTAGCTGGCGTGAAGGTCAGAAGTCAGTCTGTGCAGAGGGGTACTTTATTCCATCACGTACAAGCTTTATAGCTTTTTCCTTTTTAGTCATAGCTTTATGGTAGTTTTTAGTCTTTTAACACCTGCTCTGAATACTTTGTATCCTTAGGCATGAGTCCTGGGACATTCGTGTTGCTATTCATTACCAAAACAAGTACTTGTAAGGAAATAATGTGCAACTGTCCAAAATGGGCATAGAGGAGTGCCCAGAACAAATTGTTGCACAATTAAGGGTTGTTTCAGCTGCTTTTGACACCTGTTTCCCTTTTCCTTGTGCACTGAACACTCCTTGATTATGTTTTGGCAAATCCTTCCTGGCCAGCATAAGTGGCAGATCAGGCTCGCTTTCCTTGTGGTACATTTCAATAATTGGACTTCTGAATCTGGTCTATCTCTGAGGATTTGTGCTACACAAGTATAACTACTTCAATAAAACCATTGTTTGCTCCCCTGACACACCTCTGGCAATTAAATATCCAGACTAATTGATACCTAATGTCTGTAGGAGACTTGCATGAAGCAAATAAGGACCAGCTCGTTAATCTCATCTGTGAACCAAATTTGGTCTTAGATTAATGGTGTGCAGATGGCCTTGTCTTCAGCAAAGCTGCACCTGAATAATGCCACATAGGGCTGCTTGGTTGGTGTGTTGCAAGTTTGAGCTGGGGATCTTTGTTTCTGCTGGTTTATTTGCTCGCTGCAGCAGAGCAAATGGGGTTGTTTGTGAATCCTCGGAAGAGAGCAGGGAGGCGCTTCACGGGATCGCCTGCCGGAATGGGAATTTTGTTCCACGTGCGGTTTAGGCTTTAAGCTGTGCATCGAGACTTCCATGTGCTGTTCCTCGGAGGTGGGAAATCCTGCTCCTCAGAGCTTAGCTCAGGCTGTTGTTGAAATCGCAGATCTGGGAGGTTTCTTCCTGAGAGCTTGGGCTGGTGTTGAAATCGCAGATCTGGGAGGTTTCCCTAGCGATTCCCTGGTGGGATCGTGGTGGCTCCGGTCGGTGCCCTGCACCGCAGGGCCGTGTTCTGCTCTCCAAGGAGCTCAGCCTCTCCCTTCTGCTCTTTCTTTGCAGTCTCTGTGTGGCTGTGATGTGGCTGTTGTGCTGTAAATTCATGCAGCTGCTTATTGTGTCCTCACTTCCCTGTGCAGGCAGGACATGAGCACTTAAACCTTGATTTTGTTTGCTGCCGCTCACGCCGTTTCTTATAAAAGTAGATAAGTGAAAACCTTCACGAAATCCTGCTTCTCATCTGCCCAAGAACCTCTACATTAATAGATGTGTTTCTAAATACACGCACCAAAACAGCTGCTTGGGAGACATAAACTTATCCGACAAACTGGACGGGATGCAATGCCCTTAAATGTCACGTTTCCTTTTTTCACTTGTCATTTCTGCTGTCCCCGGGCTGCAGAACGTTTGTTCTTCCCTGCTCCCAGTGTCGTTACTCATCTCCGTTATTAAACCTTTAGTCTGCCCTGAGACTGCACTCCGAAAAGGGCCCTGCGAAGCCCTGCGTGTGTGTGTGTGTCTTCCAGCTCTCAGTTGCTCAGCTTCCAAATAAAGCTGCTTTTTATAACTTCTTGTCCAGCAGACTCGCTGTGGGATGTCGAAGCCAGGCTGCTTTCCCTTGGTGTGCACAAACGGTTTCCCTGAGCTGACTAACAGTATTAAATGTAAAGTATGTCTTATGGCTGCTTGGGACTAAGGAATAGCAGTGGTTATTTGAGACAATCAATATTGTGGGTTTTTCTTTTTTTCTTTTTGAACAAGGCAATCTCATGTGCTTTTTTTTAAGTGTATGCTTTGTTTATATATTACTCCTAAATTATGTAGCAGTACCCTTTTGGCTATGATGTGTTATATCAACTATTCAAGAAAAAGAGTTAAGTGAAACAAGTGTTTTTCTTCTACCCGCTAAATGGTTAGTGCGTGTGTGTTTAGGTAGTATTTCAGAAGAATCTTTAAATATTTAACTTTACTGAGATGAAAGTGAAAATGTTGCCCGTGAAACACATTTTGACAGTCTTTACTGTTTTTAACTATCCTCATGTGCTTGGTTTTCTGGCGAGGACATCACTGATGCCCATTTTTATGTATTTCGTTCACAGTTTTAGGTTCTTGCTGTCTTGGTGGCTAGAGGAGAGGGATGCAGAGGCCGTGTCCCGCTGATGAGCCTCGAGGGGAGGCTCTTGGCCCTGGGGGTAGCTCCTTCCTACGAGTGGAACTGGTTGCCCTTGGGCGAGATGCTGAGTTTGGCTCTGTGCATTTGTCAACTCTTAATCAGCACCCTTGGCTGTCGTGTGTTTCCCAACACTGCTTAATCTTGGGCCTTAATTGGGCCGCCGGAGTCCTAAACTCGTTATTCCAACAGCGCTTCCCGATGGCTCCCCGAACCAGCCGACCCCTCGCGTCGCTCCTGGTCCGTAACAGGATTTTGTTCGTGGTTTAGGGACCTGGTGGATGAAACAAGCCCAGGCCGTGGTCACAGCAGAAACTTTCCTTCTCCATGTTATGTATTAGGCAGTAATAATCATGTCCTGCTTCCAGCTATTTGTGCCCTTAAAAATGAAAAAATCTGGCAGTGCAGCTTGGCAAAACTCTTTGTATCCACAGAAATCTTTCCTTTTGGCACACGAGGTGTTGAAACAAGCTGTCTTATGTACTAATTAATCTCACAGATAGCTCTGATTGCTTCCAGCAATTGGAATAAGGAAAATATCTGTGGAGCAAAGAATAGTCTGCCACATCTTACTTTGCTTTCCCAAAACTTGCTGTTACCTGCAGAGAGAGATCGGGAAGTTTTAATGTCAACTTGTGCCTATCTGATAGCAATTTTAATTTCTGTCTTCTGTGGTTGAGTATTCCTCTTGCAGACTCTCAGGAAGATGACTTTTTTAGGCACTAAGGAGTATTCAGTTTCAGAAAACTTCTGCTGTGGTATTTAAAGCTATAGCAGAGACTACAGCATAACGAAAAGGATTAATTGCAATCTGATAAACATTACTTTAAACTGATGGGCTTGTTCAGAAATTATCAGTAGACAAATTTCCTATGGTTTTGTTTGCTGCTGACTTGAAAGATGTTATTTTTCTCTCTGTTAATTCCGTTCTGGCCCTCTGGGGATTGCACTGCAATAGTTGATCCTGCAGTTGAAGTAGCTGGATCATGTTTCAAATATGTAACTGTATCTTTGGGCCGTTTAGGTCATATCCTCAGCACTGATAGGAGTGATTTGTTTTTTTTTTTCCATAAAACAGTATTCTCGGCAGCTTCCCTGAGTTCTAACTTTCCTTCCAAGACTTTTATCTACCTGGTTCTCGTGTTAGGAACCAGCGGGAACGTGACATGCAGAGCACTTGATGCCCCGGAGGAGGGCTGGAGTTCACAACCTGATTTAATTCTAAGTCATGCTGCTGGCGCAGGGCTCCTGCACTGTCCATTGGAGGAGCCTCTGGGGCTCCATGGAAGGGGCAGCCTTCGGCTTTCTCCGGAGCGCCGTCCGGAGCAGCCCGGGAGCGCTGCTCGCGCAGGGATTTCGCTGAAAGCAGCAGGAGTGCCGCGAACCAGATGGCTTAAGAAGCTGGAACCAAAGTCAACGCTTAGTTGCCAAAAATGCTAATTCCCCATGTCCCGTGCCAGCACCTCCAAGGCGTTCCCGCTCTACCTGCTCCGAGCTGCTCCTCTGGGATTTAACCAATCCCCAGAGCACAGCGCGGTATCGCGCTGGAGCAAGCGTGGCCTAGTCTCAGTTATAGACAAGACTGATTTGCTGCCTAAAGCCGTCTTATTTTCACAACTTAGACAGAAATGAATTTAATACCCTCCTCTGCATCCATGTGGTTACCCGGCCGCCTGCGCCCCTTGGGTTGGAACGCGACGGGAGGCCCTGTCACAGCTCGCTCTAGTCTGCAGGAGGGAACGTCACTAACATTAGCTCCCTGTGGCTTTATTTTATGGCTTTTGAAACTAATTTTCCTCCAAATTTTAACGTTTGGCTTTTGTTAATTTTACATGGAACCTCAGGAAACACGGAAACGTCTTTAACTACTTTTTGAATACTTAAAAACTTGTAAATCGGTACCTGATTGAGCAAATGAATTGCACGTGAATAACAGTCGTCTATACCCATTTATAGCAAAGCAAATAACACTGCACTTACAACAGATGATCAACTTATTCACCTATAACGACTTTTTATTCTGAGAATCTATAATCTTATTTTGAAAATATGAGGGAAAATGAAGATGAGCTATATGCCTCTCTCTAGAAATTTGTTTTACTTAATTTTGGTTGAAAATGTTTTAATTATTAACTCGCCTGAGTCTTTAAGAACTTTTTAAGGCTGTAATTAAGTGTATAGCAGATGGTCTCTGTTTAGGAGAAATTAAAGCTAAATTTCATGACTCATCAACTGTGAATGACTTTACATGTACTGTTCATTAAACACGTAGATCACCTACTTTAAGAAAAAATAGGTGAGAATTCAGCAGTGCGCTCCATAACTTACCTACTACTAACAAATCAAACTGTGAATTGGTTGAGAAAGGTAAAATTGGTTCCTGGGTGCACCTGCCAGTGTCTGGGACTTATCTGGGCTTATCTGTTTTGTCTCTGCTTGAAGAGGAAAATATATAATTCCATAGGATTTATATTGCAACTAAGCTGTACTTGGAGGAAAATAAAATGCCTAGGGGAGGTTGTAAAGTATTGCACAGCTATACATACCTAGCCCAGGGATCATAAATATTAAGAGTAGGTGATAGGATGTTTATTCTGTGCTTATTTTTATTAAGAACTGTTGAACCCTTGGGTAACTGGGAAATGCAGTTGAAAGTGTTTTTAAAAACGATTCTTCTTTCTTAGATTGGAACAGGATATCAAAAAGTTAAAGGCTGACCTGCAAGCAAGCAGGCAGGTCGAGCAGGAGCTGCGTAGCCAGATCAGCTCGCTGGCTAACACAGAACGGGGAATTCGCTCCGAGATAGGACAGCTCCGGCAGGAAAACGAACTGCTTCAGAACAAGTAGGTGTTTCTACAAAGCTCTGTGAATTAGTTTGTAATTACTGTAGTTTCGTAAAGGGAAATACTGCTTCGAGACTCTACAGGGAGAGGCTTGTGCGTGCAGATCCAGCCAGACCCCTTTGGGACAGATACAGTGGCAGCAATCTGCTTAGTTTGCTTTGCTTTATTATTTTTTTAATGGTCAGGTCCTCTGTTAAAACCTGTACTTGTTACTTTCCAGATTACACAATGCTGTACAAATGAAACAAAAAGACAAACAAATGATCAGCCAGTTGGAGAAGAAACTAAAGGCAGAGCAGGAAGCACGAGCCTTTGTAGAAAAGCAGTTAATGGACGAAAAGAAAAGAAAGAAATTAGAAGAAGCAACTGCTGCACGTGCTGTTGCATTTGCTGCTACAAGGTACTTAGTTCAACTCCTGAAATGTAGCTGTTGCCCCTAAAACTCATTTTCATTAGGGTTTTTTTGTTTGTTTTTTCCTCTATGCCCCTGTTCTCTGTTTAAAGTAGTTTATGTTGTATATTGCAGTGTGGAACCTTGGTTTATACAGGCTAATTTGTGTCTGAGCAATGGAGATAACCTTTTCATAAGGTTGAATCTCAGTGCCCATACTGAGATGCTGTACCATGCGTGGATGCTCTAGTTAAGAGGAGGTGCCTCCCCTTCAACATTTACATTAATTTTCACGATTTAAGCAATTCAGGATTTACAGCCTCTTTCTTATTTCACCTCCTTTTCCTTCAATATTTCTTTTACAGAGGAGAATGTACCGAAACTTTACGGAATCGCATCCGAGAGCTGGAGACAGAGTGCAAGAAGTTAACAATTGACATAAAACTGAAAGAAGATCAGATTCGAGAACTAGAAATGAAAGTGCAGGTAATGAGAAAGCACCAAGGGCTTGGATGGGCATCCCAGTGAGTGCTTTCAACCCTCTGAAATTAGTGGATCAACATAAGAGACAGTCAACACCTTGAAGAATTGGGCAACTCGGATGTTTGTCTTGCATCAGGGCTTGTAAGAATGTGGGTATGAGAAAGGCTAATAGCCTCAGCTCCCCACTACTTAATCATTTAACATAGTGCTGTTAGAAAAACTGTTTTTGTTATAGGCATTAGTATTTCCCCACAGTTTTATTGTTTCTTGATTTAAAACTTCTCAGCTCCCCACTACTTAACAGCATTATGCTAAATAATTAGAAAAATTGTTTTAGTTATAGGCATTAGTATTTCCCCGCAGTTTTATTGTTTCTTGATTTAAAACTATAGAATATACTTTTCTTAGTGTATTTCTTAGCTGAAGTGGTATTATATACATCCCAACCACAATGTGACTTTATCTTTTAGGTACAAAATCTTCACCTCCTCCTTTTCTGTTTTCTGTTTCTAGATTTGCAGCACAATCAGGTTTGGTATGGGATTTAAAAAAGTGCCTCTTGTCAAACAATTGTAGTAGCTTAAATAATGTTTATTTTGTGTCACTTTCAACTGTCTAATGAGCACTATGCAACTTATTACATGGCATTTGGAAGTGATGAGGAGGATCTCTAGAAGCAAGTCTCCAATGATGCCAATAGAGAGCTGGGAAGCAGAACAAATATATTTGCTCACTGCACTGTAATTATGCTCTGTACAATATGGCTTTAATCACTTGTAGGATGGTCATGTATAATTACTGGCAGTAATATTACAGTGTCCTTAATTAACTATCATTTTAATTTTACAGCATTAATACCAGGCCCAGCGGCATTCTATGGGGAAAGGGAAAGGCTTCTCAGTATATCTCATGTGTAAAGTCTATGTGAATAATATTTGTCCTAATTATTTCTGCAGGAACTGCGGAAGTACAAGGAAAATGAGAAGGATACAGAGGTGTTAATGTCAGCACTTTCAGCCATGCAGGATAAAACACAGCACTTAGAGAATAGCCTGAGTGCAGAGACAAGAATCAAGCTGGATCTGTTCTCTGCGTTAGGAGATGCAAAACGGCAGCTTGAGATTGCCCAAGGTAACGTGTGGTAGTTCAATTCAACTGGTAGTAAATGGTGAAAACGTGACATAAAGGACACCCTGCCTTTCAACACACGTGGCAATGGTTATAGCCTCAACTCACCAGCACTTCAGGTGTCATGGGATTTTCTTGTCCTTTCTACCTTTGTGAACCTGAGGGTAGACACTCATCTGATCAGCCTGATTTTCCCTGATATTTAAATGACTTTATGATGATGATCTGCGTTTTTGCAGGCAGTTACCCTAGAGCTTTTCTTTAACAATAAAAAAAACAATATTTAATAACAATTGCCCTATTTTAAGCCACCGTTCTTAAGTCTTAATTGTAATACTGCTGTGATACCCCTGAAGTAATTAAAAATCCACAGTTTAAACCTCACCTTGGTGAGATGAGGAGCTGATGCTGCTGTCCTTGTTGAGCTGCTGTTGCAGCCACCAGAGGGAGCGTTAAACCAGCAGAAACTCTTCAGCTGTGCAAACCAGGAAACAAAATGAAATAACTTTTTGCCCTAGCATCTGTTTACCTTCCTCGTGCAAGTCTACTTGCTTGCAGGAAACTTTGATTAGAGAGAGAATTTTCATTTTGTTGCAACTTTATTGGGGTTTCTCTTTACCTTGCTTTATTATAGTACTTTTTCAAGTGTGCACAAAGGGGATTTAGAAAACTACTGACAACAGGCCAGCTTTAGAAATAAGTAGTGCATTTAATAAGTAAACTCTTGGACTCCTGCAAGGTGCTTGTAAAATGTGAACTGAAAAGTGCAGAAAAAAACGAGCTGTGAAAATAATATTTTGGTACAGGGCAGCTATACCAAGCAATTGCAAAATCTAATGGGCCTATTTGGTAACGAGAGATAATTAAACACAGTTCATCAACATAAATGGGAAGTCGCGTGGATTGTGCTGTTGCTCATGCCCTAGGAAGCTGGAAGTCTTCTGGGTGTTTCACTTCAGCAGCTCTTATCACTGTGGATTATGGGTGGAGGGTGTAAATACACCACTGATTTTAAGAGATGCTATTTGCTGTTTCAGGGCAAATCATTCAAAAAGATCAGGAAATCAAGGACCTAAAACAGAAGATAGCAGAAGTCATGGCAGTAATGCCCAGCATAACGTACACGGCAGCCACCAGCACTCTGAGTCCTGTTTCCCCACATTACTCTTCCAAATTTGTGGAGACCAGCCCTTCTGGACTTGATCCCAATGCCTCTGTTTATCAGCCCTTGAAGAAATGAATGCCAATTTTCTTTTTGCCCAGTAAATTTGTCATGCTGAAGGCATCACACAGGAGTGTCTCTTGCAGTCAAGATGAAATTGTATTGTGTGAGACTGTATTTGTTGTCATTTAAAACAGGAGAAAAAAAAAAAGAACATCTGGATTGACTAGAACTTCCCATCAGTTTTTCTTGTAAATTTTTAGAAAACCTCACAGAACTTTGCAATTTATTTTCCTTGGCCAATGCATTAAAAACAATTCTTGGTTTTCAAGTAGCCAATTTTGCCTTTTTATGTACTCTTGCATGGTTTCCTCTTGAAAAAAATACAGGGCTTTGCTTGATTTTGAACCCTTTCTTTTTTTTTCTTTTTTTTTTTTAATCAAGTTGAATTTGCAAATCCGAGTTACTAAGGAAGAGTGAGGAAAGACCTTTAGTTTTTAGAATGAAAGGGTTGATCAATCTAACAAAGCTTTGATTTCTAGATGTATTAAATACAAATATGTGATGTTGCAGAAAATAATTTGGTTACCCCTCAAAGGACCAAACAAATTTTCAGGGGCGTTCTTTAAGGGAAAGAATAAGAGAATAGATGATGATGTGACGGTGGTTGTCGTGTGAAATATTTATATTCCCATTGGTGTTTTTAGTCATTGAGAATTGCTAACAGTCTTGTTCACAGTGCCTTGGGAAAAGACATTTCAAGAGGAAACTTGATAGTTTAAACTATTTTTCCCCCTTCACTGTCATCTAGCTTATATATCAAGCTCATTACAGAGTCTACTGCAAATTGTACATGGTAATTTGGATGTTTATTATAAACCAAGGTTACATCTTCTGTTTATTTTGATATAAACTCAGCAGTGTTCTGTAACTTGCCTTGATTATACTGCATCGTGGAAGGCACAATATTACTAGAGGAAGCGTTATTGTGAAGGCGGAACTGTGCAATGTACTGTATACAAGAGACTGTAAAGCTGGCTAATAAAAGCTGCAGTTCTGGGTTTTTTATTTTATTCAACTGTGATTTACACTTTATATCACCTTGTGTTTGACAGCTTAAATGGAGCTGAATATTGTTTCAGCTGTTGTGCCAAGGAGTTTTTAAAGAGTTTTAAAAGAAACTCATAAATTGCACAAAGGCTTAAGTTCAAATGTATATTATACATTGGTAGAAAGTGTTTGCACTGGCAACTTCTGAAGTGTTTAAGACTTTTTTTTTTTTTTGGGGGGGGCAGAGTTGAAGGGGTGGGATGCAAAATTGTATTAAAATGAGCAAAATTAAAACCCAATCTTATGATTTTGCAAACCTGCAGTGGACTCTGAAAGGACAACGTTCTTAAAAGATTTTTTTTTTGAAAAAAAAAAAAAAAAAAGCTTCATGTTAATTGGCCTTATGCCTCATTTGGAGAAAAAAAATGAAGTAGGACACAAATCGATACAATAGAAGCATTAAAGATTCATCATTTTAATCACAGATATTCTTTTGGGATAAAACTTCTAGCTTTAGCCAGGTGTGCATGTTGCTGTCATTTGCATTTTTGAATCATCTTGTGTAATTGTCACCATGAAAGTGTTATTCAGAAATGTCATAGGTTTTTCATCTTTGTGCAAAACATGAAACATTGTCACTGACTTTTTGTGTTGAGGTTCCCCCATTCGGCTGCCTATTTTGGCACTATTTTCGTTAAATACTTGGTCTTGGCTGCATTCTTTTTTCTGTGGGGTTTATGAAGAATAAACATTTTCTTGCAGATTAAAAATTGCCTTTTTAACTGACCTGTTTAAGCCTGGTATAAAGAATGCATTTTGTTTAAAAAGCACCTTTAAAAAAAAAAAAAAGTTAGCCTTTTGTATTTATTTTTCCTGTTATTCCAGGTAAGTCTTTCCCTTTTGCAGCAGAATTTTACTTTCCTGAAACAGAAGGAAGAACAGATGCTCCTTCTATTCCATGTACAAACTTAGCAAGTTACCCCATCTGTGGGCTTAAAAAAATAATAATTTCTTGAGAATTGCAACAGTCTGTTTTTAAGTTTGGCCTCTGTTCCTTTTCAGCCCTTCTCTTCACTGCAAAGGCGAAGCCGAGATGGACGGTTTGGAGATTTTTAGCATTGTCTAGACAAAAAGAAAGAACTGCCAGTCCCTGATTTTCAGTAGATCTGCTTAATTCTCTTAGTTCCTCCAGCTTCTTCTGTAAAATATTTTTGTTGCCAATTCTGCAGCTGTATTTGTCGTCTTCAGGGTAAGTGAGCTCTCTGGCTTGAGCTACTGCCATAGCTGCTCCTAACCTGGATGCTTCTCTCTGCCTATTCCCACTTCTGCTCGGCCCCTCAGTGCTTTGGCCTCCAAGTAAAATGTTTGTTTTGGGTGCCAAGAAATTCCCTCCTCAGTTAAGTTATATCCTTGCTTAGAAAACGTGAAATTGTTTGCGGGCACCAGTCTCCTGTGCAGGATAAGTGATGCAAATAGAAGGAGGTAACTTAAACGAGCCAACCCTTTCATCTTTAAATGTCTGACATGGGAAATATTTTAATGACTCATCATAAATTGTACTTGTAACGTTAATATAGGAGGAACCTAAAATATAAGACTGCAGAGAGTTTACATGGAGTATTTTGATTTTTCTGTAGTGACGAATAGATACTGTGGAGAGATCTGCTAAAGAAGCTGAAGTATTCAAAACTTTTTCCAGCCAACATAAGTCTAGGAAGAACAGGTAATGAGAAAAGACGTTATATGTAATGTTTTTGAACGCCTCAGGATCTATCCTTATTAAATTTTTCAATAGAGCAGATAGCACTATGCAATTTTACTTTGAATATCTAAAGAAATGCTCTTTTGTTCATAAATTCCATTCTCTACCTGGGCTGAGATGAATTAGCTTTCCTCACGCTCCCACTTTCTATCTTATTTCACGGTGAGGGGAAGGAAGTACTTAATTGTGTGTATTGAATTGAGTCTTGCTTCATCAAATAGTTGCTCGAAGGCAAAAATTGCTGCTCTCCTGTCAGCTGCAGGTGCAAGACTTCACTGTAGGAAGGAAGATGCATTTCCATCTACCTTAAAGCAGCTATTTCCTCCAGTGTGTTTAATGAGAAGAACAAACCTTTTGGTTTTGTTGCTTTGGGGATATTTTTTGTCTGTTTTTCCCTCACTTGCTAAAGTAGACGTGAAGGTCAATCCTTACCCTAGCTCTGCCTTAAAGCATTGGGGTTTTGTACCAGAATGACAGGGCAGGTGCTTGGCCCCCAAACCAGGTGCCTTTTAGCATTTCCTTGTGACAAGGAGCCAGCTGCTCCACATCTCCAGGTGGGGACGTTTGTGTGCAGCATTTTTTGGCCCTTAAATCATAATCAGACTCATTCCAATACCTTTTGATGGAAAACACTGTAAAACAAGCTTAACCCTGGATCCCTTTACCCCTAGTGTCTGCTATTGAGAATAAGCCTGTTTGGATGATTAGCATCTAGGAGTGGAAAGAGACCCTTATCCAGAGTAACCATCTACATTTGACCTCATGCAAGGAGGTGTTTGTGCTGGCAGCCCTGAGCACCACTACAGTGCAGCAGCTTCATCATCTGCAGCAGTAAATCCTTGTTTGGCGTGTTTTGTTTTTAAATTTGTTAGTAATCATAAGCTCAAATATTACAGACATTTCAGTTCCACACGTAGGACTGTGTGTATGTGGGGTGAATGTATCTCCTTAATACGGGACACTGAGATGCCTCCAAATCTTGACTGAATCAGCTGTTGTCACCTACTAAAATAATGCTGCGCAACGTTCAAATAAATAATTTCTAATAATGGGGAATAGGCAAGGGGAAAAGGAAAAAAAAAGAATTGATTTCAGTCAAGTTCAAGGGGAAGTGGTTCATTTACCTGTAATCCCTCTGAGCAATAATTGTGCTGTTTCAGAGCATGTTACCACGTTCAGAAAATACTGCTTTTTATTGCTTACAATGAAAATCTTTTAAACTTAACATAGTTTAAAGGTCTTATGTAGTTAACATGAAATTGTTTAAAGGTTCAATTATAATAAGATAATAGCTGCAGTTAGCAAAAGTGGATTCTGCTCTCCTTACATTTTTGGAGATGCTCCAGGAATATCACAGTTTCTTTTTCTGAGGAATGCAGGTTTTCTTGTTCCACCCCAAAGCATGAGCTTAACCATTTCCTTTATTTAGCAGCTATGGCCATAACGCAGTACCCTGATCACACAGAAAGCATCAGCCTCAGGAATTTTCTTATCCCTTGCTTTCATGGCATTCCATTTTGGAGACATATTCTGGCAATACTTACAGAAAACGCATAGCAAGCGGTTTAAAGGCAAGTTAAAACTTCACTAAAACCAGTGGCTGCTTAGAAAACTGAAATAACTAGCATCTTACAATGTCCATAGTTTCTCAATTATCTGTCTCCTGAAACATTTATCACTATATCTTAACAGGTAATTTCTTATACTCTTAAATCCATGCATGTTATATACTGTAAGAAGGAAATAGCCATTTAAAGTGAGACTCTTTCATCTATTTTTTAAAAAAATAAGGTGAGCAGGTCACTGAAAATGCAAACACAGGGCTGCTGCTAGTCAGGGTGGTGCAGACTTTATTTCTGGCTTTGAGCAGTTTCTGCAGTCAGGTGTTTGAAACCCTCCCTTTCAGTTTCCTCATCTGCACAGAAACCTATTTATAAGCCACCCCTAACACTTAATCTTCTAAAATACTGAATTATTCTGATCGGGGGGAGAGCAGGGAAGAAAAATGGAGTAAGGCTTTTTTTTTAAGAGTGTAGCTTAAATTAAAAAAATTCAGAGAGCCCCGAATAATCCCAAGTACATCTGTACATCTGGATTGGAAACTAAATGTTGTGGTTCATAGCAGTTTTCAATGATTATGAAAATATTTGCTCAAGATTTGATAGAATAAAACAGTATGTCATGAGATTTTTTCTAAAAATGAAACTGACTGAAAGGAAATTGACTTCGTTCCTGCTCTAAAATAACCACAAGAGGGCCCAGAATAGCTGCAGTCATCCAGGCCCTGGTGAGAGCAAGTCACGGACATTAGTCAGTGATTAAAATACTGGGGAGAAAAAAACTCGTGTTTTTTTTTCCAAACAGGCATCCGAATGTCATATCTCAAGCCCAGTATGTGAAAGAATATGAAATTCATCATGGGAAGCCCAGGGAGCTGAGAAATGCATTGATTTCTATGATAAGAGAAGTAGAATCAATATGTAAACATTCTCTCCATACAAGGCTAAATAGAGATTGAAACAATAAGAAAAAGGATTTTTTCACCCTTTTTTTCTCCATATTCAGAAGCTTTTCTGCCGTAAAAACGGAGGCGATACAGATCCTTGGTTGAAGTTTGATGTAAATACAGTAAACTTTGCACAATATTTAATCATGGCCCAGTGTCTGGTTAATAATCCAGTGTCTGGCTCCTTAGGGCTAAAAACCATGTTGCTGAAATTCTCCTTTATTTGCAGAAGAGCAGCGTGCATCTTTATTTGCTTGGAGGAACTGTTTCACATTTCTGTTG